GGTTATTATAATGATTATTAGTAAATTGGATATTGTGGTATTGTTGTGGATTGTACAAGCTCGATGCGTTAGGTACTGAAATACGCGTTTTGGCCGATATTTTTCCGCGTTTGGACGGCTGTTGTGAGCCACTGCAGGTTCAGAAAAATCTGACCCGCGCTCATCAACACGGCCGTGTTGTTTAACACGGGCACCCGTGTTGATGCACTGTGTTGCCAAAAATTGTGTTTTCCAGACACAATTCAACACGGGCCGTGTTGTTTAACACGGGCACCCGTGTTGATCCCCTGTTTTGTTAAAAAAATGCGTTTTCTGGGCATATTTCAACACGCCCGTGTTGTTTAACACGGGCACCCGTGTTGATGCTACTGTGTTGAATTTCTGAATTTTCTGAATTTTGATTTCAGTGTTTTGATGTTGGATTTTTATTGCCATGCTTTTAGATATGTTCTCGAGCATGAGTTATGATATAATTGATGTGATTGGTTGATGTTTGAATAGTATGCTGAGTGATTACATGCTATTTGTAACTTGATATGATTGATGTTTAAATAGTATGCTGAGTGGTTACATACTATTCATATCCTGTTATGTTTGATATTGTTGATGTGCATGATATGTTGAATGATGTTCATAGTATGCTGAGTGTTACATACTTACATATCATGTTGCATTTGTTAATTCCCATTGTGTGGAATTAACATGGTGGCCAATATACGTGTCCGCGATTTAATGGAACGTTGAGGTGGTAGCCGTGTCCGCGATATAATGGAACGGTGAGTTATCCGTGACCCGCGATATAATGGGGCGGTGTAGTGGTACCACATGCATGGGTGTGTTGCATTACTCGAATATAACATGAATGGATGATTTTTCCAATGTTATATTTGATTGTTTGTATGCACGTGTGATTGATATATGGTTGATGATGTTGATGGGTATTTGTAAATATGAAAAGCAATATGTCATGGATATATGATTTGTAAAGGTTTTGTAAACTATGAAATATGTTAATTTATTGGGTGATGCTTATGATTTCGTGAATTGATTGTTATGAATGTATAACCAAATGTATATTTGAGAAGCTCACCCTTACTGTTGAATATTTCAGATTGAGGAGCTTCGCTCAGGTGCTTGGCGAAGGCTTATCGTGTCTAGTTTAGTTTTATTCTAGTATGTCCGGGTCATGCTCTGATAGTTGTAACTCCGGGAACGTTTGGTTGTCGAGCTGCTTTAGTCAGACTCGTTTATTTTCTTTTAATTGTTATAATAAGATGTTGACTTTCCAGGTGTTAATCCCTGATGATTTTGGAAAATATTATAACGTTTGATTTTATTAATTAAAATTTTCCGCTGTGTAAACATGTATGAGTTACCACTAAGATTATGCATGACAGGAATTATTTTATTAAAAGAGAATTGTAGCATTCCTCGATTATTACATGTACTCTGAGTTATAATTTTTAATATTTGCGAAAATTATATGCGGGTTTTAGAGGTTGTTACACATGGTCTCAGGTCAACGCACGCATAGCAAACCACAAAGGTCAAACAGGATGGACGCTAATGGGCCTCAAAAATTGCTAACCATGCTCCGAGATCAGGCCCACACCCCCTGAGTATTCCTTTACATTTTATTTCTTTTTTTTCTTATTTATTTATTTTATTATTATTATTATTATTATTATTAAAAAATAATTAATTAACCAATTAACATTTTCATAAAAAAAATCAGAAACCACAAAAATAATATTTTTATTGATTCCATTGATTTTATTATTTATTTTTGTAAATAAGCATTAATTAATTTTATTTAGTTTAAATAGGTTTAACATTAATATCTTTTGCAATAAATTAAAATTAATTTAGAATTAGGTTTTTAATATTTTTAAACATTCTTATTTTATTTCCTTAATTAAAATAAAAACCCAAAAATATTTTCATGTAATTAATTAATTCAATTATCAACTTAGACTAACTTTTAATTCAAAAAATAACCAAAATATGCTTTATTTAATAAAAAAGGTCAAAACCCTAAGACACTCCGATTTAATTTTCTCGCGCGCAAATTATGTTTGATCCATATTTCAATATTGTAACTGCTTCGAGAATGTAATAGTTTTAAACTTAGGATTTTATTTATTTATTTATCGCTTTTATTTATTTTTCGCAATTTAATTTTAAAAGGGTTTGTCTTTGGCGATGTAAATACCCGACGCCTTGTAATAGCTTAGATTTATTTTCCGCAATTTAATTTCCGCAACCATTAACTGTTAGATGTTTGAATAATAGGCAATGCATGACAAGACCAATTTTAATTTAAAATCAACAGTAGCTCACTATTAACATGTACAAAGATAAATAACTGAAAATTGACACACTTGCACATGTCACTCTTAGGGTACACCTCACTTGGTTGCCTCGAACGTGGTCATTGAGTATAGGAATTTTAGAGGTCGCCCTCTTGTCCAGAGATCATAAGTTGCCTCGAAACGGTTGCCTCGGATGAAATGATCTAAGACATTAGGGTTACCGCTAAGGCATCCTAACATTGCTTTAGTGACCACATGTCCCTTAATCGAATTGACCCTTAAAACTCCAACGACGGTGCTACCTACTCATTAATAGTGGGCTAGCGTTGTCTAAAGGACATTTACACAGTTTAATTCCCTTTTCGAGTAGGTAGATGGTTCTTAAGTACTTGCTCCTTTTAAAAACAAAACAAAAGTTTTCGCACCTACACTCCTTTCAAACAAAAACTCTTTTCAAACCCACAAACACAAAGAAAAGCAAACTTTTGAAAACAAAATGAGTAAGTACCTAAGAGCCCATGGATAACCACGGATAGAAAGGGTGCTAACACCTTCCCTTTCTATAATCTACCTCCCGAACCCGAGAAATATCTCAAAAAGGAATTTTTTTGTGCTTTTGTCCTTTCCTTGTTGGATAAAATAAAAGACGGTGGTGACTCTTGCTCACCGCGACATTTTGCGAAAACAAATGCAAAACGCGAACCAGCATTCCAAAACAGTCAGTTTTATTCCCACCGATCACAGATACTATAAAAATCGAGCAAGTTACATTACCCTGAACGACGAGAATCACAGTGTAAAACTCACAGTGCAGAATTTTACACCTTTTTTTGGTGTACGACACGCGAACAAACCACAAGCTCATGAGGAGGGATGTTGGTGTTGATATTGAGATGATTATTTATGAGAAATTATATGAACTTGAGTTTTATGTTGACATAAAATGTTATGATGAATTTAATAATATTTGAGAAGTTTTACATAATTATATCTTATGGATTATATTTATTTGTATGAGTTATGAATTGTTGGTATAATTATCTGCTAATGAATATAATCATATGTTGTTGATAATGAGACATGTAGTTTAGAGTGGGAATTGCTGTGATTTTCTTATATGTTGTTGTGTACAGTTCGAAGTGGAACTAATAGTTTTTTTGCATCTTTATGTCATACATCATAGGTTATATTGAGAAGTGATGAGTCGTTGGTTCAGAAGAGGGGACCAATGATGAGTAAGTGACGAGTCACTTGTTCAGAAGAGAGGACCAGTGATGAGTGTGGGTTCAAAGAGGAACCATAATGAATGGATGAATATCAGTAACATAACTTTGATGTCCATAAAATAGTAGCACATATATTGAGTCGAGAGTGTCGGTCACATTGCATACATAAAAGCATTGTGAATCATTTAGTTATTATGAATATGCTTGATGTGTTTGTTGATGTGTGTGAATATGCTACCCTTACTATGTCTTACACCGCTAATGTATTTGAGCGTATTCTCACCCCTTTTTGTTTCTATTGTGTGGTGTTATATAAGTTGTGGTGCATATACCCAAGAGGAGAATCAGCTGATGTGAGTTGGAAGATGGCATTGAGGCTTTCTTCGTTTAATTATCTCTCTACGTTGTTTTAGTTTCGATTGCTCAGATTTGTAATTATGGAAACGAGGCGTTTGTTAATGTTTGAATTAATGTTTTGAATTATTTAATTTAATCAAATGCTTTATTTTTGAAAAGATAATTTGAAGTATGTTTTATTTGTTGAGTTTCGTTGCATGTGTTAATTGTTTTAATTGAAAGAGTATGATATGACGAATATGTGTAGAACCTTTTGAAAAAATAATTGTTTGATCTTTTATAAATAAAAAGTCGGGCTTTTAGAGTGTTATATCATCCCTCCTTCAAATTCAACCCTCATTTAGAGAATCTTCTATCATAAAATGCTAAAAATTTCTATTTAAAAAAAAAATCAAAACCCTCAATTTCTTTCCCCTCCAAACTTAAAAATATGATGTTATTTCATTCATTTAAATTTCTAAATTTACCACTAAGCACAAATGTAAAAAAAGAAACTCCATGTATTTTTTATATGATAAATAGGATATATGTTTTCGGTGCAGTTTGAATCGATTTTGAAATAAAAATTAGTTTGATACAAAACTAAATTTGTGTTTTTAGCAATTACAACACATATCCAAACACTCTAGCATGTAATGCTAGCTTCCACCTACCGCATGACGTGACCGAGATTTTTGTCCAATGCCAAACAAAGCTTAATCTCATTCATTGATTCATTGGTAAAACAAATTGTTCATTACATTATTATTTTTCAATTATGACATCTACCTAACAATATTTGTATTAATCTCAATTCAATATTTTTTTCAAGTTTGCATTTATGATTAAAAAAACCAATACACCAACACTTAATAAAAGTGTTTTAGGAAAAAAAATTATTATCTCTTTTATTTATATAAAAGTCCAAAACTACTCAAAAATATTTTATTAGACAAGTTATAAGCCATAAAATAAAAACACCATAATAATGTTGAGGGTTTGACTTCATCTACTAAACTTGAAAAGCATCATACATTGATCTTTGCAGATACTCTACAACTTTTATGTTTGCAATGTGATAGAAATAATTTTTCCGGGGACTTATTACATGTCATTGGCAAGAGAATCACATCATTCTCCTCCTTTTGACATCGGGTTTTTTCTCTTCCTCAATATTGTCAATCACTTCCTTTTCCTCAATTTTGTCTACGTGCGTAATCCCACTTGATGCATATTGAAGTTCTAGTGTGTTTTTCACAAACATATACAATCTCCACAATGTGTAGTTGCTCTATATATCATAATGATACTAAAATTAGTGAGTAGTTCAATAACGTTTGCTAAAGAAAACAACATGACTAACCTGAGAGTCGAGATCAAGGGTCACGTCTTTCCTACTAACTTGGAAATTTGGATTATTCTCATTAACTATCTCTAATGCCTTGCAGAGGTTATCAGGAGACAATTTAGTGATATCCGCAGCAAGTAAAGATTTCTCCAGAGATGACAGTTTCCTAAAGTATTGTCAACAACCAAACAATACAAAAGAAAATCAATAATGAATTCTCAGTTACGTGTTTAAGAGAGCAAAAACTAAATGGCAACTAGTTGCTATAAAACTCTAATCCATATTTCTTGCAGTAAGAGAATAATAGATCTGATGCAGTCATACAAATAAGACCATCAGGCCAATCACCGTTTCCACATACAAAGTCAAACTGTGGATCGTCTAATCTTGGCTAGACAATTCAGACCAGTGACAATGTTGTGAACTGTGATTGTGTGAATGGAAGAAATCTAAATTCTCCAAACTCCTATCATAAGGGAGTTCTAGAAAAGGACAATTTCATTGTGCGATTAAACACTAAACTAACAGATGATGTGTAGCACTATTTTACTGAAGTTCGACTTAGACTACAAAAAAGAATATCGGGTGACTCTTTCACAAACTTGCACTTTACAATCATTAGTGATTTGAGATTCTTCAAAGCCATATCAGCCTTAGACAACTGGAACACCAAAAATTAAATATACAAATTAGTCATCTGAAGTACATCAGTTGATTTTAAAGCTTAAACACAACTCTAAAAAAAACAATGAACCAACCTCGTCGCTTAATTTCATATTCATGTTAGCATAAGTGGCTTTTTGAGCAAGCTTTTTGTTCAAATTCTCGTGTGCTTCCTTTGATAATTCAGCCTCCTGAAATAATCAAATATAAAAGGATAATGTAGCTACAGACAAAGCAAGTTTCATTCATCTGGAAAAAAAATCAAAATTACCAATTTAGTGAGTTTAGGCAAAAGATGCGAACATTTCTTCTCAAATTCATCTAGTAAAATCTTGGCCATATGATGGACATAACGGGTTTCATCGTTGTACGTCATTGCATTATTAAAAAGCAGCCTTACATCAGCATATATCTCCCTCACATTTTTATAACCAGAGCCATCTTTAGCATTCATTTTCTTTTTATTGTGCTAAAATCCATAGGTTATTCAATGATCTAGGGAAAGAAAAACAAACAAATTGGTTTTGTAAGAAGAGTTAGCGGAGAGCTATAATAAAATGGATAAATAACAGCTCGAGAAGGCCACCACTAGTACTAGTACTACAAGTGTCAGTGTCAATTTCGAACGTTGACACTAACACAGACACGCACATTTTTTCAGAGGTGTCGGTGCTACAGAGCCAAAAATATTGACGAGACAAATATCTAAACCAATTATGTAATGAATATAGTTATGGTATAAGTCAATAGAAAAGCTTAAAAATGAAGAAAAAATTACCTCATAATAATCATAGAGCTTAAGACCTTTAACATCTACAGGTTCCAAAAAGGGCCATGCCCATTCGTTCCGAGTTATCTAAGAAAAAGAAAATGAATTATGAAAATAAAGTTTTTTTAAATTTTGCTTCATAGCAATGCTATAATGTCGCTATAGCTATTCTTTGACATTACTTTGTAGTAGTAAATAGTGTTTCGTGTAAGAATAGCGGTTTGTTCAAATTCAGCTATGCTATAACATTGTTATTTAACATCACTTGCCTCAGTTATAATTTGGAAACATGACGCGTGATTTCTTCGGAAGCATGTTGTAGTGGCTTCTTAGATCCAGTAGAAGGCTTCTTCCGGCCTTTGGTTTTGCAATCATTGTTTTGAACATCAATAGATTGGTAAAATTGTTCAACCTCTGTTCTCGGCTCTCAAGCTACATAAATAACGATCAAAATTCAAACTCACAAACACAACAATGCATAGCAGCAAGTTTATGCTTAACAAATTGATAAATAATATATTAACAAATAAAAATTAGAGAACTATCTAAGATTTATTCTTGATATGGGAATCCCAATTTTACCTAGGGTTTATGGTGATCATAAACCTTTAAAGCCTTTAGAATAAATAAATTCAACATAGAATTGAGCAATATCATTTAGGGTTTTAAAAAACAATCCGCTACCACGAAAAAGATCGAGACAAATAGTGATTAATACATATAATCAATGTTGCAACACATCTAAGTTGCGAAAGTCTTTAAGCGACCACAACTTATTTAAAACTCTAATAACATTCAAGTATATTTTGTATAATATTTCTATTTCAATATTCAATCGATCATGCCCTAGAGAATTTGATTGATGACCATAAGACATGAAAAATATACAAAATAATGATCATAAAATAACAAATTATAAAAAAGAAAAAAAAACATGATTAATTTGAGTGTGGAGTTGATCGACAAAATGTCCATAATGGTTTAAATCTTGATTAAAAATATCGTGATTAGATGGAGGTTCATGAGTATAATGTACCATTGATTTAGTAAATGGTAATGCTTAATTTCGATTTATGAAATTGAAACCAATTAGTAGTAGTTTACACTCTAAAAGTATCAATGTTTTTTTATAACGTGGCTTAGGGGAATCCAAAATCGGTACAGCTACAAAATCGATCAAAGGGTTAAAGCCATATTTATGCACCTTTTAATTTAAGATTGATATTATTAATGATATATAAACTACAAGTAAAATAACAGATTTAATTAATTAAATACCTTTTGGTACTTATAAAATCATCAAATTTTATTTTTGATTTCTATAAAAAAATGTTATGTTTTATTGTCTAAAATTATTATGCACATATTTTTAGTTTTATTATTAAATTAATATATATATTTTTAAATGATTATTTTGCAGTTTAAAATGTTATAAAAAGTTTTTTGAATTTTTTTTTTAAATTTTAATTTTTAAATCGAGATTTTCATTGTTTTTATCATTATTTTTTGAAATTTTAAAAATTCATATTTAAGTCTTTTCATTTTAAAAATTTATAAATTTTGATAAAAAAATAATATAATATTTTAAACATGTATGATAAAAATTATTTAAAATTTTAAAAATTCAAGAATAATTAAACAATTATAAAATATTTAAAAAATAATTGAAACTAAAACTACATGTATAAAAACTAAAAATAAAATTTGAGATATTTATAGAAACTAAAAATATATTTAATTCTTTATTTTTTTAATAAAAATAATATATTAAAAAAGAAATAAAAGATACAAAAGTTAGGAAGGATACCCAAACCCATTCAAAAAAAATCTAAAAGTTAGGAAATCCATAAATAACCATTGCTATAATTTTGGTCAAAACTGTGAGGTCAGATTTTCTAAACCTTTTAATTATTTATTGATTTTCTCCTCTTCTTGATGCTACTAAATATTTAATTTAATATTTATGCCATTAATGATACATAAACTACATGAAAGGTAACTAAATTGATTAATTGATATGCTATAGTAATGAAAAGATATGGTGTCATTTTTAATTTTTGTGGATTTTATTATTATTTTTAATAAAGATAATATATTGTGAAAGAAAAAGAAGATACATAAAAAAGTGAGATTATATCAAAATTCACTCAAAATCAAAAATCGCTACAGTTATAATTTCGATCAAAATCAAATATCTATACTTTTTTATTTTTTATAGCTTAAATATATTTTTTTGTCCCCTACTTTAATGTTTTTTAATTTTTAATCTTTCATTTTAAAAATCAATTTACATAAGTTGAGATTTAGATAATCTCCTTTCAAATTTGCATAAGTGGCATTGATTATTAGAATAAAAAAAATTAATTTTAATGACTTGATATTAATGACTACTTTGTCATTATACACTGAGAAGAGCGATTTCTGGCGAATTCTTTGAATCCTATGGCTGCTCCGGTGGTCATAATTACTCAGGTCCATCCAGGTAAAAATGTGGATGGAGTGGATCTGCAAGAAAGAAGCACAAAGAAGATCAAAGATAATACGGTAGATGCAATTTCGGCTCCTAACAAAGAAGTGTTTTCCTGTAAGGAAGTTGTCACGGGGCGAAGTGTTGAAGTGATGGATGTTAAGTCAACTGATGAGGAGGAGGAAGAGGAGGAAATATGCTTGCAGATATGACTAATGGGATTCATATCGTGGAGGAGAAAGTAGGGGGTATGAATGTCATGTGTTTGTTTTGTTAGAGGCAGAAGAGAAGAGAATACAACGACCTTGAAAAAGATGGGTCATCGTGAAACTATTAGGAAGAAGAATTTGATACAAAGCTCTCGAGAATAGATTGACTTAGATGTGGGTAAGGAAATAAGTTATTAGCATAATAGATCTAAGTTATGACTATTATTTAGTAGTCTTTACCCATGAAGATGATAAGCAGGATTCCCTAGCCAATGATCCATGGTTTATCTATAACCATTATCTCAGTGAAAGATTGGATTCTGAAATTTCAGTCGGAAAGTGATACTATTGTCTGGGTGCGCATTTCAGGTTTTCCTATTGAGTACTATAATGCGAGAGTGTTAATTGTAGTAGGAAATTAGATTGGTCATGCGATCAAAGTTGTCAAGAATACGGTGCAACAGGAACGAGGGGAGTATGCCAAAGTTTATGTTGCGGTTAACTTAACCAAACTTCTTCTGGCCATGATAAACATTAATGGTCTAAACTATAAGGTAGAATATGAAGGTTTGCACCTTCTCTGCCTTGGTTGTGGGAGATATGGGCATTACAAAGAGATAATTTCTTTCTCCACCTCTATGTTTTCTTGGAGGCCCCTGACGAAAAACCCAAAATACCCCAGACTTCGGATGTGCATCTCCGAACGAACCCTTATTCCACAAAAAATTATGAAAAATGGTATTTTCAGATATGAATCTCCGAATAAACTTTTTTTTTACGAAAAGAGTGGTTTCAGATATGCACTTTTTAATTTCACTCTGTTATAAAAATTAAAAATACAACTAAAAATCAAAAAAAATTAAGTGCCTACAATTTTTTTCGAATTTTTTCGAAAATATGAAAACGGAAAATAAATCAAATAAAATAGAAAAACAAGGAATTAGGGTTTTTAGGGCGGGGTGAAACAACCGACGAAACAAATCCTCGAGATAAAATCAACAAAGTCACCATCGAACGTTTTTATCCCACAAAAAGGGAAAGGCAAGGCAAACATCGAGTAAACTTGATAAGGGTGAAATCACGATCATACAACCGAGAGATACACGTAAGGGAGTCGATTACACAAGAGGAATGTATTAGCACCCCCCACGTCCGTGGTACTCCACGGGATCCACTCTTGTGGTTCAAATCAAAGGGTGTGTTCTAATATAAAGCTTACGAGCTAAAAAAAGAATGCAAAGAGGGAATGCATGCAAAAGAAAACACAGGGAAAAGAAGGAATAGTTATAAACTTTCGCTCACCTGGGCCCCGTGACCAAATGCATATGTATCCCTTTTAAGGAATCAGAGCATCGTAGTTCAGCTCAAAAGTTTTTGTTTCTTTTGTGTTTTTTATGGATAATGTTGCATTCGCATTCCTTACGGTTAGGATTGTAATTCGTGCTTGGCGTTGTAGCTCGTAAAGAGACTCATGCTCGGCCCCTTACACCCTTAGCATTTCCAAGTTGTTCGATTTTGAAATAACACATCCTTATTGTAAAGGTTTTAAAGGGAAAAAAGGTCTGAAGATAAAAAAGTTTGCATTGGTTTGTACTTTTTATTATGAAAGAATTTGCGACTTGAACCGTAATAGTTTGAAAGTGAAAATAGCGTGAGGCTCAGTCTAAATTGATTCTCTCTACCCCTCAAAACTCAACTGCATACGATTAGGGAAACTATCTAGCTCTATCCCTAATGTTATCATACAATGATGGCCCTATGGTTCAGATAACAAAAAGGGAAGTCTCTACCTATGTTAGCATGCATATATTACAACCTAATGTCCAACTTGAATTGAAAACGAGACAAGCAATCATAAGGGAATATGCAAAGGTTACAATCTAATATCCAACTTGTATAGAAAACAAAACAAGCAACCCTAAGGGATCATGCAACGTGTTATAGAGAATCACAACACAAGTGCAATCAAACAAAGTCGAGCTGAAGCCAAAATAAAATTGAGTGCGAGC